TTTAGTACGATTTGCTCATCCCCCAATGACAGTTGGGTCCTTTGTAAAATCGTACAATTTCGTATGACTGAACTCGTACGAATTACTGGAACGTATGAATAGTACGCCACTAAACTGACAAAACGTAAAATACCTGCGTTTTCTCGTGAGACAACCTTATTTGCTGAAGCTACGAATTTGATAATTTCTTATGCCCAAATGGTTTGCATTAGAATACAGACTCAACCATGCAGATACTACATTCCAACTATTGCAGATTCGTACATTGCGATAATGATGATGAAACGATATATTCATCCGGGCACAATATTGATATATACACCTATATAAATTTCTGGAGATTACGAAATACATCCCCAGAGGTATGGTTTTTATGAAGTTTTTGTTTTAGCTGGCCACTGTGTACACTTTTTTTAGATCTCAAACTTCTCTAGCGAGTGCCATTCACGCCTGCTGTTCTCGTGTAAATCCACCAGAGGCCGATGTTGACTGACTGAAGCCTGGTTTATACTCAACGCGTTCGCTAGTTCGCTTGAGTGCCCGCGGCGAATGTGACGTCATTGCAGAGTTTGCGGAGGTTCGCTTTTGGTGCACACGACATGATTTCGGCCGGCAGAGCACATGTTTTTTTGAGACTCGAGCAAACGGTAAGCGCTGCGCCGCGTTTTAAAGTTGAGTTGAGTATGAACCACTTTTTTAATAGGTTTGGTCTGAAACAGTACGACTGTACAGGCATCTTTATGATCATAGGGATAACCAGATGAACAATAATCCTTGGCTAGAAGTTGCAACAGCGGTGGGAAAGGAGGAAAGTTTTTGTTAAAAGGTTTGGAAAAACCTGAGGGATGAGTTTGTTAAAGCCAAAAGAGGCGATGGCAAAAGTGGAGACCTGAGTACACAATTACAGAAATATGTTTTCCCACCATTCATAGGTTTAACACTGATGTATATGTTACAGTTTTGAATTTAAAACAATTTAATAGTTACAAAAGTATAATTAAGGAACAAATTATTTCTTTGATAACTGGAGAGGAATATTTGAACCTATCAGTTTACAATATACTGATGTCTGTTTTTCTAGGCTTTATTGGTGATGATGGTCAGGAATGTTGGACCAATATTGTCTTTTTAGCATAAGTAGAGGACAGAAACTAGCCAGGCAGTAATGTGTGAACTGTGGAGCGGGCTAAATCTAAATATAACATCTGTATTTTTAGTAAGTGTTTTTTTTTCATGTTCTGTTGTCATTAATATTTTAATAAACTTGAATAGGTAAAACTGTCTTAGATATGAACAAAAGCAAGTGCTGCATCAAAGTTTGAGTTTAAAAAATCTTGAATAGTTATAAAAATCCTTATAATCGTTAAAATTATTTATAAAAACAATAAAAAATAATTAGTTTAAAAATAGTTAATGATATGACGTAGTTCCGGAAACTTTCTACTTCTCTGTTTATCCGTCTGACTCATTCCTTTTGACCGCCCCTTGTCGTTTTAAAGAATATCACAATGGCAAACGCGGCAAGTATAAAAGCCTCGTCCATTTCGCGAGCTGCACGCGTAGTCAACAGAGGTGCGCGATGCAGCGCCAGGCGAAAGTATAAATCCGTCTTGATTCCCCCACTCACCCTCTTCCCTAAACCCAACCGATAGTGTTTTGAAAGCAACCCAGAAAAAGAAAAGCCCTCGCGGCCGCCTGATTTTTACCACGTTTTCAGCTTTTACTTCGTTCTCTCTCTGTTATTTACTTAGTTTATTTTATTGCCTGTCTTCTGTTTTTGTTTTAATCGTTGTTGGAATCGTTGTTCACTGGACTCAAACCCAGTCGTTGTAGTCAACTCCTCTTGGCGAGCCACTGAGCAAACTCGTAACAATGAAAAAGCCGTCCAAACGGAGGCAAACCGCCAGCTGGTAGCCCGAAAAGATACAGAAGCCCTCGGCGACATCATACGCCCTGTAGCGTTCATATTACAGACGAAATGCAGCCATACGTAGCTCTGGCTACATAATTCGTGATCTCCAAAATTGTGTACAGGGGTACGTGTTCACAATGAGCCCGTGTTGGATATATTGTGCAGCCCTAGTACTATATAGTAGGTTAAAAACAGTTTGAGCAGTACGTCCGAAGTCAGAGTATTGAAAAAAAACTGTGGGCGAGAAGTAGCACGATGACTTCTTGCGAACATTTCTGAAATTAGTTAGCGCTGATCTCTTGTCAGTGTGTGCGTCTAAACAGAGGAAGGGAAAGGATCCGTCATGAAGGGAAAGATACAGCAGAAGCATGTCTATCAGCTGTCTGGCAGTTTGTGTGGTTTCCAAAAAGGGAAACAAACCCTCCTGAAGCCTGTGAATCAATGAACAAGCCTCTGCTCTCCAGTTATTCTTAGCAGTTGTCCAGGGTTAACTTTAGACTCCAATAACAGATCTGCTGCGAGGGCTTTTGTTCCTCTAAATTTGACTCAAGTCTGTTTTACACTATAGCTTGAGCTCAGTATCTTTCAGCTAGGGTTGTAACAATATACCCGTATGACGGTTTACCACGATTTGAACGTGCACGATTATCATACCATGAACAATTGCATATCAACGGTTTTAACCCTTAAAGACCGAGACAGCCGCCCGCGGCTAAAAATAAGTATTGCTCTTAAATGTTTAATAACTTTTGATCCGCTGATCCGATTCATACAATTCAAAGATTGGCATAAAGAAGAGAATCTCAGTGCTGTATCACATAACATTCAAGGACTTTCAGAGGCTCCGGAATCAGTGCGGTTACGTCATCAAAATTTGACAACGCTGATTTGACGCTCGTCACTGTGTCTCCGGATAAACCAGACATGATACATTGATGCATTGTCCCTCCTCCATGCCCAGATTGGTTCAAACTCGCTATATAACAACCAATAAGCATAGGTTTCGCTTTTGTTTGTGGACCAACACTGAGCTTTTTGAACAACACAGAATGAGAGATAGGCATACATTTATGCGCGGCTAAATAAAACGCAAAAAAAAAGTTTTGCATGAAATAGTTCTCATACTAAGTACTTTTGCATGCACAGCAGCACAGAAACATGACAAAACAGTGACACAGCAAAGACGAACTGCTGCTCTTGCTGTTTTCAAAAGACGCAAATGAAGATGCAGCTGTTTGTCTGCATTGCAGACAACCATATCCAAATCCATATCCACAGACAACCATATCCATGCTGGCACATAAAACCTAAAGATGTTCCATATTGAATCTAGTTTCGTTATGTAACTATTTATAGTATAGTAAATATTTATATCTATTTTTTACTGAGGATTTGCACCATGTTAATTTGGACTTTGACACATTATTTATTATTTTCCTATTTTTTTATTTGTTCATTGTAAGTGGTGTTGTTTATAGTAACTAAAAATATATTATTTGGAAAAAGTCAAATTTGCTTCACTGTTCTATTATTTTGTAACATTTGTAACATACCGTGTACCGCGAAACCGTCAAACCGTGGTATTGTTTTAGACGATTATCATACCGTAAAAAATTCATACCGTTACAACCCTACTTTCAGCATATTTGGTGTGTTTTCTGTTTATTTCCGGTTGTGAATTGCATTATGGGATGTTGATCTCTGCTCTGTACATTTTTGATGTTGAAAATTCAACTCTACAGTTTAACAAAGTGACTGACATTTTAGTAGTTTGAAGTAATAACAGAAAATGTGCTGGCAGTTTATTACACGGTTTCTGTAGCGTAATATACAACACAAGCCCAGACAATATAGCACTTTACACTATTAAAACTCTTCATAAAAGTCACTTTTTCTAATTTTTTCATGGTTAAAAGTTGTTGGAAGACGGATTGAAGTCCCTTAATGCAATTCAAAAGCAGAAATAAATAGGAAAAAATAAAAACGTGAATCACAAAATACGGAAAACTGCTGCTGTAATATTGATGTCAATAAAAGATGCTGTGAAAAAAAAAAAGATCTAGAACACATTTCACAACAAAAGAATTAAATATCGTAGATTCTCACACACAAGCTTTGACTGGTGAACTTTCCTTATGGTATCCTTGAGGTAAGACACTTGAAGTGACAGTTCACCCAAAAAACAAAAATACAGCCATCATTTACTCATACTTTTTGTGTTTCAACCATATACGAGTTTCATTCTTCAACTATGGAATTTTCCCCTTCTCCAAATATGGATTTCCCCATTTAGAATTAGCAACAGAAACAAAAATGTGCGAAAATAAAACAAACTCAGTGTTTCAGTGGGCAGGGTGAAATGCAAGAGATTGGAGTAGCCTAAAGTTAGTTTTATATTCGCATATTCATTCATATTTGAACAGTGACAATTTGTGACATGTCCTAATATTGTTTACCAGGCTAACTTTAGATATACGGTCTGAAATCTCATGCAGGAATGATTTAAAAACAACATTAGCACTATTTAATTGACTGTGAACAATGTTGTAGCCTACTATAGTGATCAGCTGCTAATATGATTTCCCCATTTAGAGTTTGCAAGACTTTTCTGAAACTATTATTAAGGAGAAAGCCTGAATGTGTGAATATATAATCAACTTTACCAGGAGATTGGGGCAGCCTAAAGTTGCTTTTATACTCGCATTCATTCATATTTGAACAGGGGCAATTTGTGGCACGTCCTAATAATGTTTACAAAGCTAACTTTGAATATTCAGTCAGAAATCTGTAAGATTGACTTCAAAACACATCAGCACAATTTAATTGACTGTAAAAAATGTTGATATTCATTGGGTGCTAATATGATTTAATATGAATACTTGTTCTTAAATGAGAAAGCCTGAATGTGCGAATATAAACCCAGCTTTACCTCAATGTGGGGCAATACAGTAGGCAGGGCGAAATCTTGGAGGAAAAGGCGGAACTGGCTCTGGATCAACGCCAGAGAACTTCAGGAAACTTTCGCGGAGACTTCAACAATAAACTCGATGCTTTTAAGCACTTTTACATGTGATGAGAATCAGTGGAGCTCTTACCCGGACCAGGTTGCTGACAGCCGCCTGCACGGCCAACACAGGAGCGCTGAGGTCCGGGATGGCTTTCCCGTCCACCTCTCCCTCCTCGTGCATGATCACCAGATGGGAGATCTGCTGGGCCACCGGCTCCAGGATACTCTCGATCGTCTTCGTGTGGAAAACCGGCATGATGATCGCTCAGGTGATCGCAGACTCTCAGGGTAAATGTGTATCCAGACTCCACTATCCGTATCCGAGACTATCCCACTCCAGAACACACACCGACTCCCTCTACAACTAACTAACTACCGTGGGACGCGACTTCGAGTCTAGCGAATGAATCGTTCGTGTGAGTCGGTTCGCGAGTTGATTCATTCTTAAAACGAGTCATCAACACTGGCATTGATGTGAACTGCTCATTGATTTGTTATAGCAGAGCTCCTACACAGAGAGATTTGGGTCTGATTTGTTGGTGTTTATTCGATCTTATATTGCGAGTGACTTTTCTTCTTGTTTTAAAGATATTTTCTTTGGGTTATTTGACAATTTTAAAGAAAATTTTGGGAAAAGCGTATATAATTATTTACATTTTCTCTAAGGCAAGATTCATATTCATTCATTATTTTTCCCTTTGGCTTATTTTCTTTAATTATCAGGGGTTGCCAAAGTGGAATAAACCGCCAACTTAACATTTTACGCAGTGGATGCCCTTCCAGCCGCAACCCAGTACTGGGAAACACCCATACACACATTTACACACACTCATACACTACGGCCAATTTAGCTTATTTAATTCTTCTGTAGCTAATGTGTTTGGACTGGGGAATATTGGAGCACTCGGAGGAAACCCATGCTAACACAGGGAGAACATGCAAACTCCACACAGAAATGCCAACTGACCCAGCTGGGACTCAAACCAGCGACCTTCTTGCTGTGAGGCCACAGTGTTAACCACTGAGCCACTAAAACACTGAGTGGCTCAAAACATTTTTTTTTGATCTATTCAGATTTGAACTCGACCAATATTTAAAAACTATTCAGAACTCTATTAGTCTAAAAGCAAGTCTTCCTTTGTGTCTCTTTAAGATTTAACTTCATTATATTAGTTATTTATTTATTTTTACCCTGGTGTTTGTTTGTTTCTGAGTATATATTTTTGTTCTGTTTTTAATTTAGTTGTCTTATTTGTCTCTGTGTATGTATTTGTGTTTGTTCTACTAATTCACAATAATAAAAAAGAAACAAGTCATCAACTTTTAAATTAATTAGTTTATTAACAAGTACCAGCATGTATGTTTCATTTCAGAACAGGATCCCTTTACATAGCTTAAATGATTAAATGAAAAATCTATTTAATAGGGTATAATTATCAATATATATATATATATATATATATAATTTTGTTTTTAACAAAAGTTACTGAATGCAAAATACATGTGTACAAACATTTTATGCACAATATTATAGGAGCATATATGAACCGTTTTAATTGCTTTTCTATTGCATTGTTAGACTTATAAATCCCTTTTCCGAGTCATCAACTCAGTGAGAGACACAAACTGAAATTTATTCATTAATAAAGTGATAGTCCAGTCCAAAATGACAATTTCTGCCATCATTTACTTGCTTTAAAGCTTTATGAGTTTCTTTTTTTCTGTTAAACATGATACACTAACCGGCCACTTTATTAGGTACCCCTTATTGGTGCCAGGTTGGACCCCCTTTTGCCTTCAGAACTGCCTTAATCCCTCATGGCATAGATTCAACAAGCTACTGGAAATATTCCTCAGAGATTAAATAAAAAATAAATAGTCAAACCACATCCCCAAGGTGCTCTATTACAGTGGTTCTCAAAGTGGGGGTTGGGACCCCCCGACAATGAAGGAGGGGGGGGGGGGGGGTCGCCTGGTGATTTCTAAAAATGTATTTATTTTTATTAAACCATTAGAATTACCATATTTTATCCATAACCTACTGAAAAGAAAAAAGATTTATTTATAGTTACTATATACTACTGTATATAGGTACTATAGTAGCTTGTAGTTACTAGCTCTTTGGATTGTGACCCCTGGTGTAATTACATTATATTAAAGACAAGCAATAGCGTCAGATGCAGCAGATGGGTTTATAATACCAGGGTAAACTTTCTGGCCCATTTACAGCACTCACATACATTAAAAAAAATCAACAAAGAATAGACTTAGGTCTATTGGAGTGTGTGTGCTATTGCATGCAAGGTTTCTTTATTTATAACCACCTCAGAAGAAATTGAGGGTCACGAGTCACTGGCATTGTTATTTTGTCATCTGAAAAGTTTGGAAACGCCTATTCTATTGGATTGAGATCCAGTGACTGTGAAAGAAAGAAATGGAGACTCATCAGAGCAGGCAACGTTTCTCCAATCTTCTATTGTCCAGTTTTGGTGAGTCTGTGTGAATTGTAGCCTCAGTTTCCTGTTCTTAGCTGACAGGAGCGGCACCCGGTGTGCTCTTCTGCTGCTGTAGCCCATCCGCCTCAAGGTTGGCCGTGTTGTGTGTTCAGAGATGCTCTTCTGCAGAGCTCGGTTGTAACGAGTGCTTATTTGAGTTACTGTTGCCTTTCTATCAGCTGGAACCAGTCTGGCCATTCTCCTCTGACCTCTGGTATCAAATACTCAGAGCAGCCCGTCTAGCACCAACAACCATGCCAAGTTCAAAGTCACTTAAATCCCCTTTCTTTTCCGTTCTGATGCTCTGTTTGAACTGCAGCAGATCGTCTTGACTATGTCTACATACATGCCTAAATGCATTGAGCTGCTGCCGTGTGATTGGATGATTACAAATTTGCGTTAACGAGCAGTTGGACAGGTGTACCTAATAAAGTGGCCGGTGAGTGTATGTTGATTCAATGATTGATTTCCACAGTATTTGTTTTTTCTAATGTAGAAGTCAAAGTTTAGGTTTTCAGCTTCTTTTTTTTTTTAAATATACTCTTTTGTGTTATTCAGAAAAAAAGAGTAAATTCACTTTTTTTTTTTGACTGAACTCTATTTCTAATGCTAATCTAACTTAACAAATACTGCTTAAGTTATCAGTACCTGTTTTAATTACTAGTATAACTGTTTATAAATGATGACAACTTTATTTTAAGGTCACTATAGCGCTAGGTTTACTATTAATAAGTATTGCCAGTGGGTATTTATAAAGATATTGACCTACTTACATTTTAAAAATTGAATCAAATTAACCTGAGTAATTTTAACTTGAATTCTGTTTCATTGGAGAGAGTTTCACTTGTTAACATGACAAAACAGCTCGGAAAACTTCAGTTAGAAACATGATTAACTTCGTTAATTAAGTTATATTTAAATTAAAACATGCATTGTTCATTAATATTCACCAAATAACACCGTCTTTAAAAGAATCGTTTACCTCAAAAGAACCGTTTCTCTAAACCGGCTCTTTGAAGCGAACTGTTCAAAAGAATCGACTCGCGGTTTCCCACATCAAACTCAACCTAAACCTCCCTCATGACGCGTTTCCTTCTTCCACCAATAAAACCGCAACCGCTGGAGCGCCCGTGAATGTGATTGGCTCATACAGACGTCACTCTCCCTGACTCGCTCCGCCTATTGTCTTTGTAGAGTTTGCAGGATTAAGTGAGTTCTTCCCAAATGACGTAACGCATTCTTATGCCCAAAAAAGGAGACGGTATTCTGCTGTTCTGAGGAGGAATTCCGAGTGGCGCGAACACTGAGCTTGGCACCGCCCCCTTACAGCGCTATTTATGTTCTGATTTGACTATAATTTGTAGAAAGATCAGTCATAAAGAAAACAAATAAATCACTCACATCATTGTATGGGGCAATTCCATCTCTGGCTCCTCCACTAACTACCAAAAAAATAAAAAAAGAAATAAAATAATAATAATAATAATAATAATAATAATAATAATAATAATAATAATAATAATACTGATGTTTTGCTCCTTACACTTTCTTTACACACCTGAAACTTGCCTATAGCACTTATTCATTGTTGCTCTTATAGTTGTGTAAATTGCTTCCTTGTCCTCATTTGTAAGTCGCTTTGGATAAAAGCGTCTGCTGATTAAATGTAAATGTAAATTTAACATGTCACCACAACATTTAATTTAATTTAATTTGGCATGGAACATTTATTATTTTATTTGATGATTTTGTTTATATTTTTATTGATTAATTAATCACTTTAATTTAATGTAATTGTTATTTGTTTGCTATTTTGGCATGGCATTGTGACAGTTTTTTTTATTTTTCTTTATCTTGTTTGTTTTATTTATTGTTATTTTTACTTGGTTTGATAGCCGTATTGTATTTAATTTAATGTACTTATTTTATTTTTGCTACTATTATGTGGCTTCTCATGCAGGGCTTGTTTTTAAAATATTTAATATAAATACAATCAAATAATTTACTCAGATCATGTATGAACATGTAAGACCATTTCAAATAGATTATTCTGATAAAATAATTAAAGTTTAAATTAAATTAAAGTTTAAATTAAATTAAATTAAATTAAATTAAATTAAATTAAATTAAATTAAATTAAATTTAATTTAATTTAATTAAATTTAATTAATTTAATTTAATTTAATTTAATTTAATTTAATTTAATTTAATTTAATTTCTATCTTTCATTTTTTACTTTAATTTAAAAATAACTTATTAATTTTATTCTTGCTTGGCATGGCATTTAAAACACTTATTATTTAATTTAATAATATATTTATTATGATTAAAAAAACATAATATTAGTTTAATTTGATTGAATTATATTAATTTGTTTGACATGAAAATTTGAATATTTAATATTTCATTTAATGATTTTGTTAATATTTTTAATTTTTAATTGATCACTTTAATTTAATTTAGTTGTTATAATTATAATTTTGTATAATTTAATTGAATCGCATTTATTGATTTTATTTTCTTAATTACATTTTATTTAATTTGTAAGTAACTTATTTATTTATTCATTATATTTTTGCTTGGCATGGCATTTGGAACACTTATTATTTAATTTAATATTCGATTATATGTTAATTATGATAAAAATAAACCATAATATTTGTTTAATTCGATTTAATTTAAATTAATTTGCTTGACATTAAATTTGTAATAGTTAATATTTTATTTAATGATTTTAGTTATATGTTTATTTATTAATTTAATTTAATTTAATTTAATTTAATTTAATTTAATTCAATTCAATTCAATTCAATTCAATTCAATTTAATTTAATTTAATT